CCATTCTTATCAGCTATCCACTTATCCCCATTAAATCCAGTTTTTGATTGGTCTCTAATCTTTAAAATTTGCTTACAATGCCAATTGCTATCCAATCTTTGATGTACTTCCCATATAAGGGGCCTTCTTATTATATGCACATGTATCCACTTAATCCACAAACTATCAGATTTCAATGCTAAACGCAAAACTTGCTTTAAAATTGTAGCTCTATTCAAAATTTTTGCATCTCGAATTCCTAAACCTCCCATTGATTTTTTAACACAAACTTCCTCCCAACTCAGCAAAGCCCTAGCTCTACCATTGCTTTTCAACCACCATAAAAATTCACTACAAATTCTTTTCACAGAATTTGTTACACTTTGTGACTGTATATATGTAGATCCCCGATAAAATGCATGGACATCAAAACTGAATTGAGTAATTGCACCCTACGCGCATATGATAAATGTCTAGTGCTCCGGCATTTTATCCTAGCCACCATTTTACTGATAATTTCTTGACATTCTAATTGAGAAATTTTTTAGCGGACATAGGTACACCTAGATATCACATTGGAAATGTACCTGGCTTAAACTTAGTGATGCTGCACACCTCTTCTTGCTGCTCTTTGATGACTCCTCCAAAAAACACTCATGACTTCTGATGATTAGCCACCAAACCGGTCACCATAGAGAAATCTTCAAAAACATGCTGAATTCCTGTAATGGTTGTTGTATCTGCTTTGTAGAAGACCATTATGTCATTTGCAAAACAGATGTTAGTTAATTTAAAGCTGCACACATTAGGTGGAATTTAAACCGGACTTCTGAGCTAGCTTCTTCAAGCTTCTTGTCAGAAACTCCATCACTAGCATAAACAACATAGGTGAAATTGGATCACCCTGTCGTAAGCCTCTCTTGTTTGAAAAAACCCTGAATAGCTTCCATTTATCGATACTGAATAATACGTAGACTTTATACAAGCCATGATCCATTCTCTGAAGATTTTCGGGAATCCATATCCATCCAGCATTTCTGAAATAAAACCCAATTCTACATAATCATAGGCTTTCCTAGTGTCTATTTTCATTAAAACTCTACTAGTCCCCTTCTTCCCATAATGCCTATTAAGTTCTTACAAAATCAAAATATTATGCAAGATTAACCTATTTTTCACAAAGGCATTTTGGTATTCATTAACTAAATATGGCAACAAAGGTTTTAATCCATTACACAAGATTTTAGAGATGCATTTATACACAATGTTGCAACAAGATATGGGTCTGAACTGAGTAGCATTCTTAGGAACTTCTACTTTTGGAATTAAACCTTAGAAAGTGAATTTAATTTGCTTTAATAGCTAGCCAGTGTCAAAAAATTCCATCACAGCTCACATCCTTCTCTACTATTGTCCATGATAGTTTGATGAACCCAGCTCCAAAGCCATCAGGACCTGGACTCTCATTAATATTCATTTCCCATATAGAATATTTTATCTCCTTCTTCGACACTGCCTCTATCATTTGTATTTTTTGAGCCACACTGAGTCTGTTCCCATATTTGAAGACTTCCTGGTATGCTGCTTGTTTGCAATTAGCTTATCCCAGCAAATTCTTAAAATACTGAAGGAAATGAAGCAAATTCTGAAAATTCTTCATGTTCATGGTTTTCAATTTCGAATGTAAAAAAGCTGTGTTTTTATCACCTGCTATCAACCAGTCCTCCTTGGATTTGTGTTTCACGAAACTTATTGCTGCTTTGCTTGAGTTAAGATATTGACTATAAGCTTCTCTCTCCTGAGCTTGTACCATCATATTTCCTAGTTGCTAAATCAACTGCTCCTGTATATGTTGCAGCTTTTTGTATCATTCTCAGCTTGCATCTCAGCATCTCCAAAATGCTCCCTGTCAGCTTTCTCTAATAAGGTTTCAGTCTCTTCAACTTCATACAAAGTTGAAACATGGAAGTGCCTTTTAGTGCTTTTTCCCAACTTTGCCTTATAGTTTCCAAATACTTAGGAGAGATACTCTACATATTAAAAAACTTGAAAGGTTTAACTACTCTTACCATCTCTTCTTGTAACTTCACTAAGAAATGTGAATGATCCAAAATACCTTATGTACACACTGTGGCAACTGAATCAGCTCTATCGAGTGTGGAATATATTCTTTCACTACCCATTTGCATACTGTACCAAGTAAAAGTCTCTCCTGTTGTATGATGTCCAATACTCTACACTCATCAATACAGTCTTCAAAAACTGCCATCTCTATGGTGTTTGCTGGTTGATGGGTGTTGAGACCACAAAAATAAACCTGCTTAAAACTTGTAGTAAGTGATAAGAAGGGTTGATCCCATAGAGATGGGAAACACTTGATGAAAATTGGGATCAAGTATAAGAACACAAAGCAGAAGTAACAACAGCAAATTAGCAAGTGAGTTATTGACTTGGCAAAGTAATGGTAGCTTAGGGTCGTCCTCCACTCTACTCTATATGCATATGTATTGATTCTTTTAGCTCTCTATGTGGTATAAACCTGTATTCAATTAGGCACATAAACACTGTAAGGTCGCTTCCAATTGTTCCAGACAGCAGTCCTAATAGTAACAACTAAACTAACTTCCGTTGTCGACTCTGAATTACTACCAAGCCATTAAGATCTTCGGCCCTTATGATTGCCTCGTGCCAAACAACTAACTTCCGTTGTTGTTTGAAACCTTAGGCTATTATCCCTTTGTCACCGGTTAATCTTAGATGTTCTAAGTTAAGTTAATCCTTTCGAGATTCCCCTAACATGCATGTACAATTAGTTTGAATGGTATGTTCAATCTAAAAGCATGATTTAAACTCTAAGACTAAGCATACAAATATTATCAAAGAGCTTGAATCAAAACATAATTATGTAGAGTAGAGGGATTAGACCCTAAAAATGAGTTTAGCTACTCATGGAGTAAAGCTCAAACACCACAAAGTTTAGGTATTGAGACTTCATCCTGATTACAATAGGAAGAGAAGAAAACAGGGGAAGAGTAAAGTCAAGGAGTGTGGTAAAGTGCAGCTGACTTTGCAGAGTCAGTTTCTCACTTCCCGAAGTGACACCCCTGAGTCTACCTTCCAGAGTTATACTCTGTTTCTTCCTAACTGAACCAAACCCTACAATCTATTATACTTCAAAGTGTATTCTAGTTTGGCTGCCTTCGTCCTCAGTTGCTCCAGCCTTTTATAGAGGTTGGGAGGAGTAATCCTTGCTTAGCCAAGTTGATCTCCTCTTTACCCGATGGGTTTAAAGTAAAAGAGAGGAGACACATACTTCCTCCAACTTCCCTCCATACCTATAATCATCTTTTGGAAGGATTTGGTTGAGTTAATCAGTTTTAAGGCACATCAATCTTCTTCCAATGTCAGCAGCATCACTTCACCAACGGCTTTTCTTCTTTAGCTTCGAAGGTTTCCTCGAATTTGGTTCTCTTCCCGCTGAATTCTTCCTCTTCTTCAGCCTTTGCACTTCAGTCCCTACAACATCTTCCAATTTGGTTCGAAACTTCACCAATTTGCCATATTTTGACCACCTTTTTGCTCATATTGCAATTCAGCCCTTGGACTACCATAAGTCACCAAATTAGCTTATAAACATATAAACCTAACCTAATTGACCTATAATTAAAGCATAAAGAGGTAAAATATTAGCCTAAAAAGATATCACGAAATGCACTCATCAACTCCCCTAAACTTAAAGAGTTGCTTGTCCTCAATCAAATACAACATCTACCCCCTATACAGACTAAAAATAGAGAATGAAGCAAAGGAAACAGTCAAAGTTTTGTCTTAGGATTAGGTCTCATCAAAGGCAGATGCATACACTATAGTTCAGAACCATTTGAGCAAGATAGAAACTCACATCCACTAGCGCAAGGATGACAGACACATAACAAAGTGTTGATTTTTCCTTCTTAAGTTAAGCTCAACACAATGAACATTCCTGAATCTGTACCTATTTTCATCAGGTCTACAACTAAGGTATTCTAACAGGAATTCTGACTATGGGCTTCCTCACTTTGCTGTCAGCACATTAGCTGCATCTTTCACCCTTATACCCTTTCCTTCTATCCATATTGGCTTTTCTTCTGGATCTTTCCCACTCAAGCCTTTACCAAACACAATTTTCAGAATTTTTGGTATTCTAAGCATCTATATATTTCATCTCACCAGGTGTGAGGACACTCCTTTCTTTGGTTGCCATGCCTCACCTCACAAGGATTTATAATGTCTTATTCGACACTCTGCCTATACTCCCGCAATTAGCTAAACAGAGAACCTCAGTTTGATCTGCCAACTTCCCCTTTTTTTGAGGTATTTCAAGCTATTCCAAACCACTATGGGCTTGAATCGAGGTTGCCATAATGCATAGAGTTTGCCTTAATCTCTATCCCGGTTTACAGTCCCCCCATGTTAATAGACAAATGAGCTCCAGTACAGATCAGAGCAATGCAGGAAAAATTTTCAATTTTAAGCATTTAAGTCTAGAACACACTTTGTCAAGTGAGTTTGTGACATGAGAAAGTGGAACTAAGTTTCAGAGCTGATCAAGGCAGTTTCAAACAAGTGTTCAGCCAAATTTTGAGACTCAGTTTAGTTTCTTTATCGGCAATTGACTATCTACTAAGCATGCATTCTCTCATTTCCTAGACACAGAAAGACTAAGTTGACTCTATCACAGAGAGAGACACAGAAACACAGAGAAAATAGAAAAAAAACAGAAAAAAATAGGGCAAGAGCCAAAAACCAAAGACTCAAATAGAGACACAGACCTAAAAACAGAGACTACAGACTGACTCCTAGACATGGTTAATTCTCTTCACTCCCTCCCCCAAACTTAAAAATCTGGCATTGCTCTCAATGCTGAGTAAAAGGAAAATGGAAGATGAGATGATGAGTATTAATAGACACACAAAAAAAGCAAAACAATCAAAAACTAAGAACAGAAAAAGAAAGAAAAAGAAAAGGAAGAGAAAAGGGAACTAGTGACTTCCCTCGGCTTCAAAATCTAATGGCTCGTAATCTGGTGGTGATCCTTGCAAGGACCAAGGTAGTGGCAAAAGGGAACTTTCATCATGAGGTCTGAAGTTGACACCGGACCGTTCCATTAATCTTGTCAAAAGGCTGGGGAAGAACCAACCCCTTTCCTTCTCATCCACTGTAAAAACCTCCATTTGTTGGCAGATAATGGAGGCGAAATCAATGGTGATGTTGTTGATGATGGCGAATAGCAGCAAGGCTCTGTCAACGGATACAAACTGGTGAGATTTGGTAGGCATTATGTTGGTGCAAAACAGGTTGAACCAACCTCTATGGTGATCCGTCAAATGTTTTGTTAGGAATTCCTCAGGACAGCCATATTTGTCCAAGCTCCATTCCACCGCAATGTGATTTCTGCAGAGAGCTTTCTTTATAGTGTCCGAAAGCCTATGCTTATTTGGGACGCAGCCAATTGCATCTTCCCAATCATTTTCTACTTCAGGCAATACCAGGACTTCTCGAATAGTCTTTTCTCTTATCTCCACTGTCACTCCTCGAAAGTAGACAAATGGCCCTGTGACAACGGTCAAATTGGCATAGTGATCTTGGACAGCTCTCATCCTTGGTCTGGTGGTTAGGTTGCAAAGACCCTCCCACTACTTTTCGTCGATGTATGTCAATGGGTGGTCGTGGTTGAAACACTACCGTTCGGTGATGGGTATTCTGTTTCGGTGCCTTTGAAAGAATTCCCATCCAAACTCTATGATGAAAAGTTTGCTATTTCTCGGATCCTGGAGGTGCGCTCTCACTTCATGCCTCTCATCCCTATTGAGATTAGGGTTTGGCACAATCACATGCTCCGCCAGTCTGTCGGCAAAGATGGACTCCCCTTCTGGCAGAGTTCTGCGTCTGGCCGTTTCTTTTACTTTCGGATTCAAATTGGAACAGGTGTTTTTTATGGTCGGAGAAAATGGAGGGATTGTGCAAAGGAAGCGAAGGCAAGTAGTTTCAGAAAATGTCAACTTCCCATTCCCCGTCTTTTCAGATTCTTTACGGCAGCACCATTGTTTTCTTCCCCCAAACATGAAGCCAACACCGCTTCCCAAAGTCAAAGACAGACTTACATGCATTTTAAATAGTCGAAATGACTTTTGCAAGTCAGAAACTTACTTCTGAAAGTGGTCATCCCATTTCTCAGAGTGCCGATCTTGTCCTGTCTTCTTGACATTGGTTAGATATTGGTCATCCCTCCTCCTGAAATTTGGCTCTTCATTTGGGATAGAAAACTAACTGAATAATACAAAATACTATGAGAGATAGGGTTAGAACAAAAATGCTTGGATTACCTCCCAAGTACCGCACCAGTTTATAGTCGTATGCGAGACTGTGCTGAAATTATCACTCAAGATCATGGAGTGACAGAACATGACTATTCTGCTCTCCTTCAGATTATATTCCCAAATATGGCTTCAGCCTTTGTCCATTCACCAGCAATGTGCTCCCTGTCTGTAGGTTCATCAGCTCTACTGCTCCTTGGCTCAGAATCCTGCTGATCTTGTAAGGACCTCCCCATCTTGATTTCAGCTTTCCAGGGAAGAGTTTCAGCATGGAGTTGTAGAGTAGGACCAGCTGTCCTACCTCTAGCTACTTCTTGACTAGCTTCTTATCATGGAATCCCTTTGAATTCTCCTTGTAGATTCTAGAAGACTCATAGGCTTCCTGCCTAAATTCCTCCAATTCAGTGTGTTGTTGAAGCCTATGCTCCATGCTGAGCTTTAGATCTAAATTCAACTCTCTCAAGGCCCAATATGTCTTGTGTTCCAACTCAATAGGAAGGTGGCATGTCTTTCTATACACCAATTTGAATGGGACATGCCAATTGGAGTCCTAAAAGTAGTTCTGTATGCTCAGAGAGCATCATCAAGCTTGGCAGTTAGTCCTTGAACTGCAGACTACCTTCTCTAGTATCCTCTTGATCTTTCTGTTTGATACCTCTGCTTGGCCATTGGATTGTGGATGATAAGGTGTAGAAACCTTGTGCTTGAAGCCAAATTTAGCCATCAGCTTAGTGAAAGCACTATTGCAGAAATGAGAACCCTCATCACTAATGATGGCCCTTGGAGTGCCAAAATGAGAGAAGGTATTCTTTTTTGAAGAACCAGATCACTGTCTTAGCATCAGTGGAATGAATTGCTACAACTTCTACCCACTGAAAAATTTAATCAACTACGTGTGTGACCAAAAGATGACACAAAGGGTCCCATAAAGTGTATGCCCCACACATCAAAGAGTTCTACTTCCAGGATCAGTTCCTGTGGCATTTCATTTCTGCAGAAGGTATTTCGTGTTCTGTAGCATCTATCAAAACAAAGCAGATAATTTCTAGCATCCTATGTAAAGTAGGCCAAAAGAAAGCCGTTTGTAGTACCTTAGCAGCAGTTCTTTGGCCTCCATAATGTCCTCCATAGGGTGAGCTATGGCACTTTTCCAAAATATCAGGTATCTCTGATTCTGGTACACATTATCTGATCAGTTGATCCACACACCTTTTGAATAAGAAGGGTTCATCCCAGTAGTGTTGCTTTGCATCATGGATTAACTTTTTCTTTTGCTGCTAGCTAAGTCTTTCAAGTATGATCTTAGAGACAGCAAAGTTAGCATAATCAGCAAACCATGGATTCTGTTTGAGCACTTTGGCAAGTGACTGTGTCACATGCCAAACTGTTCATCAAGGAATGTTTCAGCAATTGGCTTAGGATCTTCTGGTGCATTCTCAAGACTTGACAAATGATATGCTACTTGGTTCTGAATGCCCTTCCTGTCTCTGATCTCCAGGTCGAATTTTTGCAGCAGCGAAACCCAACTAATCAACCTTGGCTTGGAATCTTTCTTTGTAACCAGATACTTAATGGCTGCATGATCAGTGTATACTATAACTTTCATTCCTAACAAGTAGGATCTGAATTTGTCAAAAGCAAACACTATAGCTAGCATCTCTTTCTCCGTGGTTGAGTAGTTGATCCGGGCTACATTCAGAGTCTTGCTTGCATAGTAGACAACATGCAACGCTGTGTTCCTCCTCTGACCCAGTAGAACTCCCACTGCAAAGTCATTGGCATCAGTCATTATTTCAATGGATGAGTCCAATCAGGTGTGACTATCACAGGAGCAGAAATGAGCTTCCCCTTGAGCTCTTCAAATGCCTTTACACAGACTCATCAAAGATGAATGCAGCATCTTTCTCCAGAAGATTACACAAGGGCTTAGATATTTTTGAGAAGTCCTTTATGAATCTCCTGTAGAAACCTGCATGGCCAAGAAAATTTCTCACTCCACGAAGTGTTGTTGGTGGACTAAGCTTCTCTATCGCCTCTATCTTGTCTCTGTCAACTTTAATGCCCTTCTCTGAAAGTCTGTGGCCTAATACAATACCCTCTGACACCATGAAATGGCATATCTCCCAATTCAAGACCAGATTGGTCTCTATACACCTCCGTAATACCTTACTCAGGTGCTCTAGACATTCTTCATAAGTCTTCTCAAATACAGAGAAGTAATCCATGAAAATATCAATGATGTCCTCCACCATATCTGAGACAACAACCATCATACACCTTTGGAATGTTACTAGTGCATTACACAAACCAAATGGCATTCTTCTGAAAGCAAAAGTGCCATAAGGACAGGTGAATGTGGTCTTCTGCAGCAATAGTAATTTGATTGTATCCTGAGTAGCCATCCAGGAAATAATAGCAACTATATCCAGCTAGTCTGTCCAGCATATGATCAATGAAAGGCAGTGGGAAATGATCCTTTCGGGTAGCCTTGTTGAGATTCCTGTAATCAATGCAAACTCTCCAAGAACTAACCACTCTAGTGGGGATGAGTTCATCATGATCATTCTTAACCACTGTCATTCCTCCTTTCTTGGAACACACTGAACTGGGGTCACCCAAGTACTATTAGATATAGGGTATATGATCCCTGCATCTAATAACTTGATGACCTCTTTCTTGACTACTTCCTTCATAGCTGGATTCAATCTCCTTTGACCTTCTATACTTGGCTTTGCTTCTTCTTCTAGCAGGATCTTGTGAGTGCAGATGGAAGGGCTGATGCCTTTGATGTCAACTATGGTCCAACCAATAGCTTCCTTATGTATCCTCAAAACTCTCATCAACTTATCTTCCTCTTTTTCAGTCAATGACCATATACACATACTTTAGATGTGTAGGCAGTGGCTTCAGCTCCAGAGTTGGTGGTTATTCCAAGGAGGGTTTATAAGTTTTGCCTTCCTTGGCAAGATCCAATAGCTCTGCTGGTTGACTTCTGTGTGGCCACTTTGGAGAGGGATCTAAGTAACCCAGCCAAGTCATTGCTGAGTCCTCATCTGTATGTCCTGCATCTATTTCAACATCAATTAGTATTTTAAGCAATTCATCAGACTCTATTACCTCTACAAACATTTGCTCAATAGTTCCCTCCACATCATCAATCTTGAAGCACCTCTGAATTCACTATATTTAGTCACTATGCTTATCATTTCTCTTTCTGTAATTTGAATTTGAAGAAAATGATACCAGATGTTGATAGTGGCAGTGATGCTGAGTGAGAGGCAAAGAGAAAATAAAAGAGAATAGTTTGAATTAAATGTTGTTATCACTGTGCAAGGAAATAAATCTACCCGAATCATATTATTCTTAGTTATATATTATTATCTATAAAAAATAAGTATGAATAAAAGCACGAGTTACAAATATGCATGAGCTATTTTCATAGTAGAGCGTCAAATACATGCGTCATTGAAATTCATATGTAGTATATTTTAACAACTTTAATTCAATTTGTACTAAAACTAAAATTTAAACTTCACAATAATTTCTCGAATGAGGGAATATAATGACCAAATCAATAAATTCACTAGCTAAAATAATATTCCCTTTACTTACTTATAGCAGAAACCTTCGAGTATACTTGGCAACTCAACGTTAAATATTTTTCCTCAAAAAGCCAAAAGTCCTATACAAATAAAACTTACACGTGGCATCCTTGACAGGCTCCAAAAACCAAAAGTCCTCCGTCTCTATTCTTCTAAAAAAAAAGCTGCTTATTTGGTGCTCCCAAATTATAGCCTCTCTACCACTATTCACTCGCTATAAAAGGGGCAGAGTCATTATCTACAGAAATGGCTCCTTTATTTTTTATCCCTAATTTTAGAATCCTTATTTGGTTTTTGCACAATATCATGTGTGATTTACTCCCATGACAATCGTCAGACGACTCTGCAAAACATTTAAATTCCAAAAAAAAATTATCATTTATCCAATATCCAATATATACTGATACTGATTATTTTCACAGTACAATTATTATCACATTATTACATTGATCCTGTCCACAGTAATAATCAGAGGATAGATGCATCATATTTCTACCTCTTTAAGATTGTAACTAGATGTTTGGCCCAGGCAGATGCCCGGGCGCCCCCTCTACTTTAATTTTGTGTTAATAGATAAATGAATTTTTGATTTGGAAAAAATAAAATAGCTACACATTTATTTTTTCCCTTTTTTAGCAAAAAATAAAAATAAAAATAAAAAAATCATCTGCAAAAGGAGAAAAAATATTGAAAAGTACACTGATGCAGAAATCATACAAAAGAATGTGGAGTAATAAAAGGGATAAGTTTATGGACAAATTTAAATCCTATCTTAATTTGATTGATAAATGATAAGTGTTAGAAGTTAAAATTGTGTAGCTATTTTTGTAAATTAGCTTTTGTTTTTCCGGATAAGAAGTTTTTTTTTTCTTTTAAAAAGGGATGACACGTGGCAGAATGGTTAAAGCAATATGGTGTATTTGGAGCCAAAATTTTTTAATAAGAAGTTGCCACATCAACATCCTGTATTCTGCTTTAATAGGGTAAAAGGGATTTGAAGTTGAAATTGATGAGCACGTATCATCCCCTTTTTAATTTGAGCTTCATCATAATCTTCAAGATAAACTTACCTTCCTACTAGGCCATGGCTAACGAAACTATAATTTACCTGTATAAATACAGATACAAGCACCCCAGAAAGTTCATCGTTTCAGATTCCTTCTACTATTCCCCTTTGTCCACCGTAAAACTAGAATCAACAAACATTCTCAGATCTCTAATGGCTTCACCAATTCCCCCTGCTACTGATGCCTCAGTGCCCACTGCTGTGGATGCCCCAGTGCTTGCTACTCATAGGTATATTGCAGACATCAATGGTCTGATATCAACAAAAAGCAAGCATTTTCAAATTGTTGTGTGCGTCATGTCAATGTGGAAAATATTGGATAACACTAAAAAGAAGGAAGTCAAATCTCCGGAGTTGTGTTTGATTGACGCTCAGGTAAATTTAATTTACGAATGTATAATAAATACTATTTCATATTATAATGCCCTAATCGGTATTCTGCTAATTCATAATAACATGACATTGCAATGTAGGGTGATAAGATCCAGGCAACCATACCTGTGAGATTCATAAAGGATTTCATTGATCAGTTCGAATAAGGTGTTACGCAAAGGATCTCAAACTTTGATGATGCTTTGAACATAAATGCTGGATACCGGTGTGCTAAACATGAATACAAGATTGTTTTTTAGCCTAATACCTTGGTGGAATCTCTTGTTGACATCGATATTCCCAATCATGTCTTTGACTTTTGTAGAGATAACAAATTTTGTGGCGAATTTCGATTACTACTTCGGTAAGCATTATACATTGGTGTGCTTATTTTTGAAAAATGAATAAAATAATATATCATATTAGAATGTATGATTTGCCAAATATTAAATAAACTGAGTTTCTATGAATGGCTACATGGATTTTTTCTTCCCCCTCGAGATTACCAGTAATTTTAATACTCAGTAACATAAAAGTAACTTAATCATACTAATAACTGAAACTGAAAGCACAACAGAAATGAACAAGAAGAATCATAAACTCTAACATGTGATTCCTCAAATAATCAGCAACTGTAACTCATAATAAGTTATAACAGGTTTTGACTATGTGAAATCACACATGCAGTTTCAAGGGGAAAAAAAGAAGTATTGAAAAACAGAAAAAAAAAAAGCAAATCTTAATTTTAAAACCAAACGTAATTTGTAAAAATGAAGATAACCCATATTTAATTTCCAGTCCTAAACCTCAAATGTAGAAACTTTGAATTGGAAATCAGTTCCAAAATATAATATTAACTTCCAACTTCACAGGATCATAAGAAATGTCCAACAACTACAACATATCATGCTAATCTAGAGAATGAGAACCAAAGCATCTGAAGATTTAAAAATAAAAACTAGCTGGAAGTTATCACATCCATAAAATAACTACCCATACACATAAACAAACGAAAATACTCCCACTGTAAGCAATGCTTGAACTATAAAGCAAACTTTTCATCTAATCACTACTTTTGCCGCAAATGGGTTTCGATAAAAAGAAACAAAAATGGAATAGGAAATTACCAGTGATGATGCTAAGAGCAATTATTCCAACAACGAAGACCAGAAAATGAATCCTTTTCTTCTCCAGAATCATGTCTGAACTTCTTCTGCTCCCTTTATTGATCTGGGTTCTTGCAGAAGATGAAGATTCACCTCAGATGTACTTATTCAGATACGATTGTTTTATTTGCCCCATTAACATTCCGTAATCATATTCGCCGATACAGTGTAGAAAAATCATTCAGAAAATCGCCCGTATGTGTAAGATATGGCAGATCTAAAATGAATTAGAAACTGAGGATTTGACGATAATTCCATCGGATCTTGGCCGATTATAAAATTCATCAAACTAAAGATAAAAAAACAGTGTGAAGTAATGTTTTACTGCAAAATGGGAGGAAAAAGGGAAATATGATGAAAGTGAGCTGGAATAATGGGCCATTTCCGATTGCTGGCGTTCAAAACGAAATGGGGGAGGGGATTTTACGAATTTAGGATGAAAAGGAGAAGTAAATTCTGTGTGTAAATATCCTAATTCGTAAAATCACTTTCAGACACAACTTAGAAAACAATTTATTTGGGCCTTTAAAATTGAATTTCTCGAAAGAATGTTGATATCAAATTGTCCCATAAGTAGCTGTCAATATTTCTTTAAAATATTGTGTCAAAAAAATTATGTATTTTAATTTATTTTTTTATATAAATCCAACAAATAATTTATTAATATTCACATTATTATTATTATTATTATTATTATAAAGTAAACGGAGGCCGGCCGGACATTGCCCGGGCCAAGCATCTAGTTGGTATTGATTCGGTGGACAATTGTGACGGCAGGGATTCGGTACTCTACATTTTAGAGAGCAGCGGGCTTCCAAAAAACACATGGGTCAAAGGTGACCCGCTTGTTGATCTGCAGGTTACTGCTGACCAGGGCTTTGGTACTTACTTTTCATTTTTTTGTTTTTTTTTTAAATTATACCTTTTAAAAAATCTGTTTGTTCATTATCTATAATTTGAATTTGAAGAAAATGATACGACATGACCATAGTGACAGTGATAGTGAGAAATAAAAGTTGGGAAATGAAATAAAATATGGTGATGGGTTGTTGGGACAAAGAGAAGTTGGGGAAAAAAGTAGGATACGGATTCACTTTCTTTGATGGTTTTAATACTTTTATTATATTTTGTTTGTTTAGTTATGAAATACTATTAATATGCAAATGATACTTATTGGTGTTAAATTTAGAAAGTACTGGAACGCTTAAAATTGTCAAAAAGTAGTATTTCATTTTTATGTAGAATAGTATGAATTAGATGTTGTCAAGACTACGCAAAGAAAATGATGAAGCATGGATCTGCACAGTGCCTTAGGACGGGCGGCGATGATGATCTAGGTGGCGGAGGATGGCCTTAAACCTGCTAGACAGAGCCTCGGGTGTCTCCCAAGGGTAGACTCTCCGATACTTAAGTCAATAAAGGAATAGAGAGAGTAGAGAGAGAAGGATGTGTATCGTGTGTAGAAGGTGTAGACGATAGGTAGAAGATATGAATTATGGGAGAGGCACCATCTCTTTATATAGAGGTGGTATTACCTGTTTCCTGAAACCCTAGCAGTATAGGTTTAGGCGGTGGCTTAATCCCCAATTAACCTAATCCTAGGCCCAATAGGCCTAGGGTTAATTTATGACTCGTCAAGTGCCCAAGCAAGCCATATTCTCGAGACTTGATGAGAAGAATATGGGTTGCTATGAGTACGAGGTTGGATTTTTGACGGCTTCTCGACTTCTGTAATGTTACCCCAGTTCTCGAACATTATGTTCCTGCAAGATGAATAAAAGGGTGATGGTCGACAAAAGAAGGTCCTCGAGAGGACAAGGGTCGAGGATGACGGGGTCCTTGGAAAGACAAAGGTCGACAAGGGGTGGTCCTCCGAAGGACAATGGTCGACAATGGAAGGTCGTTCCAAAGGACGCTTCAGGAGGACAAAGGTCTATGAAAGACGGTCTCAATGAGAGATATTGGTCTGTGAAAGGACGGTCCTCGAATGGATGACGATCTTCAGGAGGACAAAGGTCTATGAAAAGACGGTCTCGATGAGAGACAATGGTCCGTTTCCATGAGAGGACGGTCCTCGATTGGATGAGTAGTCGCTGGAGAAGGGTTCTCGAGAAGACAATGATCGGCAGAAAGAGGTCCTCGGAAGGACAATGGTCGATAGGTGGTGGTCTTCCCGAGGAACAAGGTGCATAAGGACTTCTAGAAGATTAAGTTTGAGTAGTTCAAACTTGTGGATCCTGCCATTAAACTCGACAAAGATATTGCAATAACGATAAAGGAATGACATATAGTAATAAGATGCTCGTAAAGAATATCAATTCAAACAGAGGACGAATTCCTCGCCCCAAGGGTATGTCCCTGTTTGTGCCCCCGACTATGTTTTTCTCGTCGAAGGGTGATAGGGTTTTACCACGAGAACTTGAAAAATTCCTTTGATCGTGCTCAAAAAGATATCGTGATATGATAATAATATGATAATGAGATCAGATATTAAAGTATGAAATGGTTTTAGAAGTACCTCAATCCCGTAATAAATTAATTACTCGAAAAGGTGTTACCTCGATTCAGAGAAGATATTATGAAAGTCGAGATACATCTTCTCGATCACTTCTAATAGTAGTTTATAGCTCGAGGGATGCTGGCCTCTTCGAGGAGATGTATCTCTCGAAACTTCAATCCTCAAAATTACCCCTTGCTTCGAATGACTTGAGAGCTTATATGGATTTGCACATCAAATCGACCTGATGATCATCGTAAAGCACCAATAATATTTCAGCTTGGTTTCAAGAAATTTATTTGGTTGTGAAGACCAAACAAATCGGTCTCACTGGGCGTGCCACTTGACGAAGCATGGATCTGTATGGTGCCTTAGGACGGGCGGCGACGATGATCTAGGTGGCGGCGGACGGCCTTAAACCTTCAAGACAGAGCCTCGGGTGTCTCTCGAGGGTAGAATCTCCAATGTTTAAGTCCATAAAGGAATAGAGAGAGTAGAGAGAGAAGGATGTGTATGGTGTGTAGAAGGTGTGGAAGATAAGTAGAAGATATGAATTATGGGAGAGGCACCACCTCTTTATATAGAGGTTGTGTTACCTGTTTCCTGAAACCCTAGTGGAATAGGTTTAGGCGGTGGCTTAATCCCTAATTAACCTAATCCTAGGCCCAATTGGCCTAGGGATAATTTATGACTCGTCAGAAAAAAATCAACCCAAATCATATTATTCTTAATTCTACATTAATATACCTGAAAAATAATTATAAATGTGTTTATAAATAAAGCACGAGTTACAAATGTGCATGAGCTTATTTTCATAGTAAAACCTTAAACACATGCGTAATTGAAAGTCATATGTAGTATATTTTAAGAACTCTAAGAAAAACATAAAAGAACAAGGAAATGAAACAGGAGAAAAAAGAAAAATAATAAAAAAAAAACTAGCTATTTTGTTTCTTACATATTCGGGGGGTTTATTTTGTAACTTTTAAAACTATATAGGGGAATTCTGTAGGTTAATTTTATTATTTTATCCATAAATTAGTATAGTAATGGTCAAAATTAACTTAATTAGATAAAAATTAGCCAGAAAGGGAAATAATTGGGATGAAATTGACTTTTGAACATACTTTTGGGTTAAAGTGGTTAGCAGGTTGAAACTTTTGGTTAAACCGACCACTTTCTCTCCTATGCTCCGACAAAAGCTGAAAATAAATAATCCTATGCTTCCAACAGGAAAAATTATTCCATACCACAAGTATATCTTTTTTTTTTTAATGCAGCAACAAAAGCTGACAGATGCTTGCAGAAATAAGTAGTGAAAACTAGGCGAAACTAGCTAAATTTTTTTTTGACCTCCGTACAAGCTAACCTTAACCGATGCGCCTTTAGGAATTCGAAACACTATCTGATCAATCCCATCACAGTCTTTTGTTACTTCAATTCCTTTTCTAGGATCCCAAACTGTGGAATGCTCCATTCTCTTTAGCCCAAAGGACTAAGAAAA